TCTGAGCTGATTTTATTAAATTACGTACAAAACTCTTAAAATTAAATATTACCATCAGATAAAAATACAAAGAATTACATCCCTTTAAAGATTTAATACAAATATAAACAACCATCCTATGATAATTTATGCCTTTAAGTCAAATTAATTTTTAAAAACAGTATTGTAAGTAATATCAATGATTTGCTTTAAATTTAAACTCTGTCTGTTTACTGACATTGGTTTAGATTTCAGGATCAATATCTAGAAATGTCTCGTTATTTTGCGCTTCTATTTCTTATAGTGTAAAATAAATCTATTTTTTTAATTCAAACTATCTTATTTAGTAATATAATAATATTAATAAGGACATAGGTTATAATAAACATGTCTCGATCCATTAGGTTTCTTAGGACAGTTTTAAGTCGATTTCCATACTTTACTATAGAACTTTATTATTTATTTTATTTTATCATTTTTTTTTCTAAATAAATCTTATAGCCAGTTAGAACTATTTTTATTTTTAAATAACTTGTCTGTATTATAATTTGATCTTTATTTACTAAATTTTTTTAAACTATATAATAGCGATTGGTGGTGTCAGTATCGCACCTTCGGATTCGCTAGACCCTTTATTATTATTTTATGTATATATGCATAAGCACTACATTTAAACTAGTACGTACAATTAAATTTTATTCTTGGGCTAGCTCACTTAAATGTAATTATAAAAATATAAATTCATATTTTTTGTCTGCAAAAAATATACCTAATTATCTAAAATATATTGTGGTTTCGACTATAGATATACAATGGTTTCTGGTTTTTATTTTAAATTTTTAGCCTTATCTAGTTGACAATTTTTTTATTACTTGTTCAAAAAATAAATTAAATGGAAGTTTTCGTAAACTCGAAGACCATAAAATATATTTTTTAAAAGTTAATTAAAAATCAACAATATAATATAAAATATTACTTTTTACCTAAACAGCTCTACTGAAATACATATTTGCACGTATGTGTATGTTCAATTGTTCGTGCCCGTCCCCCCTTGGCTAAGATAGAAGGCGAAACTAACTGCGTGGAAGAATCAACGCTGACAGAAGACATTGGTTATTATTATATATTAGACAGCCCCCCTAACTGTCTAAGCGCCCCGTATTTCTAGACCATTGGCCATTGACTTCACAAATGGGTAACTTTGCCGACCGTTTGGTGATAATTTCATTTCCTATGTCACATTACGGGTGTCAACGTTAGAAATATGTACCTCTTACCGCAAGCTGTTAGGACATTTTTACTTCTGGAAACTATTATCATTTCTTTGATGCTAGTCATTTAGGTATATTATTTTACTCGCCTTATAATATCTGTATTACCACGTTGTTTAGTTCTGTACGGTATTTATTTGGGACGCAAATAGAATTTTATTGAAGAAAAAATAATACAATGTGCCACAATCAAGGGCATTGAATATTATGGCCTTATGTTTACTTTCATACATTTTATATACGAATTGAGAAAGAAAAGAAAATAAGAAGAAAACAGAAATCAAGAATTTATTAAATTATATCTGAAGAATAGAAGGATATCTATGATTTTCAAATAACTCCATATAATAGGAACAATTTGATCACGAAAACGAGAAAAAAGTTGGCATAAAAAAATATTGAGCCGTTTTGCATGACTTCAACCCCTCAACATGATAAAATAACGAGATTACATAGGGCAAACGGCCCAATATTTTTGTAGACCGCCTTTTTCTCGGTTTTGTATTCAAATTATCTTTCAATTCATGAGTTTTTGGTACCTCATTAAATTAATTAATTTAATGAAAAAAAACGCCCTATTTTTTTTAAAGATTTCGTTGAAAAAAATGTTGTAGGCTATGTTTTAGAAGGATGTTAATGATTTGATAAAAAAATGTTTGTACCGCGGAATATAAGAATGTCTTATAGTAGTTTTGTAATTGTTACATTTCTTTTTTTTTTAATTAGGTGTTACAAAGAATAATAACAGATAAGAACCCGTTAGAAGTATTACAACATTTCTCGTGTTTGAGGATAATTTTATTGTTCAAAACATACTTTACGTCTGGAAAACATTACATTTTACTATCATTAGCTTTCAAATAAAAATTTGGGTTCGACCAAATAACAGATTTTAAAAATTTATCGGGTAACTTATATAACTAAACTAGTAACTTATAATTAATTCATAAGAAAACTTGTAAAACTGTAGTCTTTTAATTGCTTTGCCATTATGATGTTTTGTAATTATAATTTTACAAAAATGGGTATATTGATATTTGATAAAATATAATATAATCGTTAGTACACGTACTGCAAGGGTTCCGTTTGTTTACTGTTTATTTAAACTGTTCATATAAACCAAAAATTATAAACAGATGTAAAATTTGATTGTGAAATCGTCTTAACATTTAAATCATACGAGTAAATTATAGAAATTTAAATTATAGAAATACATTATTCTATAAACTATGTCTGATATTTTTGAAGAATATATTTATATTTATATTTTATATTTATAATTTATGTCGTTAAGTCTTTCCTTAATTTTTGTAAGAGAGAAATACTTTATTGTATGTAGTGCTGCCCCCTACTATATAGGGTTACACTTTACACAGCATGCTGATCAATCCATATGGACACAGTCCTTACATACATAATTATTCCATTATTATATAAACATATAATTATTTTTTTAGGCCTTTTCACAACACTAGTCCAAATACCATATCATTAACAATACAACACTAAACAATTACTATTATACAATACATATATTTTATGAAAAATGAAAAAGAAAGTATTCGAATGCTGGAAATACAAGACCAAATCGCACACAAATATCAACGCAATTCCTTGAATACAGACTATAAAAAAAAATACAAAGCTAAAAATAAATTTTTTTAAAAAATCTTTTTGCGTCATAAAAATAAAAACGGAAGTTTTGTTTTTTTCTTTCAATAAATTCACACATTGTGTAGTTACTGTGGAAAGGAAATCTATTCTTTATTTATTTTTTATATGTTATTCATCTCATATTTGTTTGTAAACATCTTATAGAAAAAGAACAGTAAGTTGTCTGTCTTCTCGGAGTAAGACACCGTAGATGCCAGATAGACGCTCAAAAATAAATAAAACGTTCTTTTTTTTTTGTTTGTGTTCTTATCGATAAATCATCCGGCTACGCAGGACTCTCAGTAACCGTTTTAAATTAAATTAACCTGGTTTACGATCCGATTTTACGACGCATTACGAGCTGAGGAGATATTATCGTACAACGTGATCATCGGCTGATTATAAATAAAAAGACGTCGCCTGGAGCACGTAGTCGGTCACAAAAAAAGTGTTGGTTGTGTGTGAAAGAAAAGAGATAAAAAACAATTAAAAAGAGAAGTATAGGAAAAACGAACCGAAAAAGGATAGTACTAAAAACAAATAGGGCCTTAAAGAAGTGGACAGCCTTAGGACCATATTTTATTGGCGGCTAAGTATCCACTTACTCTGAGATCGCTTTTTAAAGACTATAAAAATAATGGCCTTTGAGCCAAGGGTCAACCGATGGTGCTGTATCAATTTGTATTCCACTCGGTAGATGTTCTGACCCTTTTCTTATACTATAATATGTTATCCTCTGCACCGTCATGGCCGATCAACCTGAGGCGGTGGGAAACTACTTCTGATAAATAGGCTAGGAGTGGACTAGGACAAGATATGGATTGGGTACGTTACCAAAGGTGTACATTGTTTTTTAGAGACGTTGTTTGTTTTCAATACATTCAGAATAAAACGTGATTCTGAGCTATCAAGTTAATTAATAATAAATCACAAATCCTCTATATCATGAAATAGGAAATCAAAAGGAATTTTTCATCTTAACAATTTTTTTTTTTTTTTTTTGGAGTAAGCTGTTTATACTTGTTTCAAAGTGTTTTTTACTTTCTTAACAGGTCGGTTTTGTTAAAACCATATTTGTAGCACCTGTGAATATTGTGTTAAGTGCAAAAATCATATTTTCGGCAAAAACACAATGAAAGTTTGGAATTTTCAATCTATGATTTACAAAAGAATGTATTAACATTTATTCAAATATTAATTTGAAATAACCGCGTAACTTAGCCCATTAGACACAAAGAAAGAGAGAAAAGTAAGCTTTCAGCTGATATCCATAAAAGTAAATTTTATACGTAACTGTGAATTTTCATAAAATCTTGTTCACTCTTCAATTCGGTATTGATAATCATTATCCTTATTATTATCACATAAAATAATAAGAAACATACCGTTTTAAAAACAAATAATATATTTTTTTAGCTCATTTAAAACGAAATGAATAAGGCACGAATTTCAAATAATTTGAAATATTCCAAAATAATACAATAAATTAAACTCAAAATTAAAATTCTTGGAGACAATATGTCTATTCTTATCACAGAGGCAGACAAGCAGTGGTTTTTATTGTTTTATTATAATTTTGTTTGTTTTTTTTAAATTTTTTTGTTTGTTAATCGTGAAATATATAAACAAAATAAATCGTCTGTGACTTGTGATATGAAATTTTTTTTTTTTTTTTTAGGAATATCTCGGCATATATTATAATACGTCACATTTAAGGACAATAGTATAGTAATAGTGATCAAAAGTAGCTCATTCATACTATGTATAATAAATAAAAATAAATAAACACCAATATAATATTAGTAAAAGTAAATGTATATAAACTAAAAGATACTAAAGTACAGAAAAATAAACTAATCTAACAAAATAATTACTTAAATACACACATGCTTAATATATGAAATTAGTAAATATAATATTATTTCTAATAAAAAAAAAAAATAGATATAATTATGTAAAAATAGAGTGAGTTTTAGCTGATTTCTTCTTTTAAAAAATTAACCAAGTAATATTTGCGTTCATGTTAATTCCTGTTCCAATCTGAAGGTTTGATCCTGTGTTACTTTTTACTCCACGGGCTTCAATTTCCAGCTTAATATGGCTATGGCAAAAAGTAATTGAATTTTAATGATATTATATTTTTTTTAAATACAAGTGATCGCAACAATTTACTTTAGCTTTGGTTACAGAATAGTTTTACCCTAACAAGATTTTGTTGTTTGATTGCGTGTCGCCCATCATTCTCCCTCAGTCAGACCGTTATCAACTGCCCGATTGAGGGGAGAAACATCTGATCAGAATATTAATTCTATCCGGAGGCTGAAGATGAATTATAATTTCATCTCGTCAAACCTGAGACACGCTTTTCCTGTCTAGTTGTCTAACTGTTCCGTTCGTATTATAAATAGCCATGGAATAAAATCCTGAATAATGTTACGTTGAGTCGTTTAACATCAAACACGCCCATCTTTATGAATTATAATTTCATTTTTAAAAAATGTGATTAAAAGATTCTTTAGCCAAAGGTAAATCTATCAAAAATTGTTTAATCCAAATCAACATTGAATGTACCATGAAATTATGTATTTCAATCGCAATTCATTAGAATTATATTATGTACTTTGGTTGCTTTTCATATTTCTTAGCTCTCGTTGGAAAAGACATCAAACTCAAACGGCACCAGAATGCTATGATACCAGACGTGTATTCTTGTGGTGATACAAGTTAGGCATATGAGCTAAAATATTTTGACTACACTATCGATCCTTTAGAAACGAGACTTCATTACCAACGAATCACTGTGGTAATGAAAAAAAAAAAAAAAAATAGGTTCCTTATAACGCCAATTCAATCTTCTTTACCCGAAGTGAACTTCAATCAGTTTCTGTGCTTTCAAATCAAAACTTGTTATATCCAATCCAAAATAGCAATTGTCTACTTATGTAAGTATGCATTTAAATTGAAAATTAAACAAGTTTAAACCCACTCCAAATATCCAGCTGAAGATACTTTGTAAACTGAGATCGGACTTTTCGTTTGTGCAAAAATAAATATGCAGTAATTGTTTTGTTCTGTTGTAAAAAGTTTTTTTCTAAAGGACTGTTATAATTAATAATGAAGAGCTGACGTGTCGACTTAAGAAGTACAATTCCATGCCAAATCAGTTACTATTCATTGAATCACTTGTAGGTCAATTACAAGTTAAATTGAACAGTTTAAGACCGCTTTGCCTCTATTTGGTCAAGTTTGTATTTGGCAGTTGATATAGGATAGACAGTTGATACTACTGCAATTGACAGTAATATGAGGCTTTCAGGTCGTGGAAACTAGATTTGATCGAATAGTTACTAACTGATATTGTAAGACTAAATTCTTTACTTGGAATCTTTTAATGATATCCTAATTACTTTACTATTAGTTTGACTTCTTTTTATAAAAAAAAAAAAAATATGCTTCATATATTTTTATTTTGCTTTACAGGGCAGTTTCGATCTCCACGTATCACCGAGCACCCATCAGACGTCACCGTCCCAAAGAACGAGCCCATCACCCTCAACTGCAAGGCCGAGGGCAAACCGGAGCCGACGATCCAATGGTTCAAAGACGGCGAACCCGTGATGACCTCACCACCCGATGTAAAGTCCCACCGTGTTCTCCTCCCCGCCGGCAGCCTCTTCTTCCTCAGGGTCGTCCACGGCAAGAAGGAACAGGACGATGGGGTCTACTGGTGCGTCGCTACCAACCAGGCGGGCTCCGCCACTAGCAGGAACGCCACGCTACAAGTAGCAGGTAAGCTTTAATAATAACTTCATTTAACCAATATTATTTATAGCTACTTTCTAATTATGATATAGATTATATCCAACAGTCATCTTATTTTAATTGGGGGTTTTAAGTTTTATGCGATATTTTTACTTTAAAATATGTATTTGTTTAAAAAAATGATAGTTTTCTTATTTTATCTTCATTATCATGGTGGATTGCTTTTATTTTTGTAACCATCTTTAGTTTTACCTATAAAAAAATAACAATACATTCAAGTATTAAAATTTCAAAAGTTCAAATCTTATGTTAATAGTCTTTTAGTTCCTTATCCAGTGAATTCTGTGGCTACATCTCAGATGGCAAGTATTCTTATTGGGTCTTTAGGACTGTTCAAATCCCATACAGAGATATTATCTTAATTTTTTAGACCTGGTTGGGAGTGGCCTTAAGTTAATGTATAAATGTTGGTACCAGAGCCTTGATAGATAATTCGGCCACTTCCTTCTACTTTCGGACACACTCGTGGATTATCAGGATGTATGGTGTGATCATAGGATCTTGTGCCACCAATCAGAGTCGAAGGACATTTTTACATTAGTACCATGATGATTTAGGAAATATAGTAGGGTCTTATAAAACTAACTAATAAAAAAAAATTGAAAATAATTTCAGATTCGAATACTGGAGTCCTTCTGTCAAGTATGTTGTGATAATTCTAAGAAAGTTTAATTAGTTGTACACAGTTTTAGAAGTAAGAATGAATCACTATAAAGTTAAACAAATTCTGATAATCTTCCACAACATGACCTTGTCAACAAAGCTAATCGCCTTTGTTTCAATAAGGGGACAACAAGTGGATTAGAGACCTTATTGATTTAATTGCTGAGGGAGATCTTGAGCCCATGAGGATGGATACCCCTGAGGGTACGAAGGGGCCTAAGAAAGCGAAGGCTCATCAAAGTGTTTGATGCCGGGACCGGGGAGCCTAATCCCCGATGATTGTGGGAGGATCCTGTTTACATTGGGACGGGAGGGTAACCATGACAGCGGCTAACCATGGGTCTAGATCAATAGGCTTTTTGTCCCGGCTAGGGATAAACCTAAACCTAGCCGGGACCGGAACCTCATTAGCCAGGAACCGGGAATTCAATAAAGAAGGAGCTACTCGGCTCAGGTATTCGATTCCCGCCACGGCGCGATATTAAATCCATATCTCTCGGGATTCTTCCTCCTGGTCTGCTCCTTGTCTCCCCCTTTTGATTTACTACTTACCCCGGGTTCCTCGGATGCCGCCGGCAAATTCTCATTTTACTCGGGGGTGGAACCTTAGGAAAAATCGCCTCCTAGGGGCCTATATAGCGCCAGTATTTTTCATGGCCTCAACTCCGTTTTATTAACGACCTTGCGCCAAAAGGAGAGGGGATTTTCTTAATTTTTACTCCTTACAAATGTTTTCCTTCTATGTGGCATACCGCTTCCCCTGAATTTAATGCTTTAAGTTCTTTAACCAATTCATACATGTTCAAATTTTACAATTAATTTTTTTTTTCTTTTCATTTATTAATTTAAAAGGCTCCTCATCCTCGAAGATAGTTTTCGTTCTGATTTGCAATATGTGGTTGACTAATTACTGAGGCCATGATTAATTCTGTTTCTTGATTGGTGTTTTGAACCTTCAATATCAAGCCGTGCACACTTTCATAGATTTATGTATTCGAAAAATCTGTATTTTTCTTACTTTAATTTTTTATTCCTTTAGTTGTTAAAATTATAAATATTTCGCCAGTTTATTGAAAAAAGTTATTAATTGACATTTTACAAAATTCAATCACTATAATCTCTAATATTTTTTTCTTCTATGAAATCAGAACATTGTGCATTGCAGAACATTGTATCTATATTTGATCTATAAAAATGCTTAATTAAGTTCTATTTCTGTTTTATTTAGGTCGACACACATAGAAATAACAATAGGTGTGGGCACAGGAAAATAAATAAAGAATTTAAAAATAAAATTAATTTAAACAAAATAAATCATCTTATACACATTCGTGCCTATCAGATTGTTATCTACTCTTTGGAAGTGAGGGATAAAAATAAAATTTAATATTTATTTCGAGACCTAAATATAAATTTCTTTAGTAATAACGTAAAATATGCCATTTTGGAAGGTCGGAGAATATATTTATAATCTTCCTTAAAAGTAATTATAGAATATATAGATTGTTGTTTATTTGATAAATTTACTATATTTTTTTTATTTTTAGAAATATCTTTAGATGTGTTAGAAAAAAAACTAATTAAAATGATAAACATAGCGTATCTGGAAAACAATTTAGCCTGAAATGAAATATTTATATCATGCTGTGAATAGAAACGAACTATACTCGGCTTCACTTTAAATTATTTATCATTATCAAATCGCGCCTGATAGTAAGCAATGAAAGTCTGTTAATCGTTTGGTGGCAAGATCTGCATAAATGAAATCCGTATTGTTAATATTTCATTTCAATTTCCCCAGGTTTCGACACAGATTATGGGGCCTCGTCAGGGCTATAACAAACGATGAACAAAAATAATTAATTAACCCAGATCATTTCTTCTTCTTTTTATTTTCTTATTATTTATAATGAAGACTCATCTTGTTAACTAAATGTTAAAAAATAAATATATGTACTTTTTTTTACAGAACTATTATAATGTTTTAGCGACTGTTTTTAATCTATACTTTTATTATTAGTCAATTTCATTTTCAAAACCTAGCTACCATACGACGAATGCGTTACAAATGCTTATTTAATAGATTACTAGCAGGTTGAGCGTCTCTTAAAATATAATAGATTTAATTGTCGAATTGATCTGCCATAATCTCCTTTTGATACTGGTTTTGGCGTTCATGACATAGAAGGGTCTGGCAGGATACTTGACATTTTTCATCTGTGATTGGTCCTTGAACAATGGCTTCAGCCCCACGATTAGAATACATCATTTTCATCAATATACATCAAGTCCGATCTTTTAGAAGAGTATGACGGCCGTTAGTCAGCAAGTTGGAAGTGACGGAGGTGAGGACGGTGTCGGCGAACTATTAACTCACGAAGGGAGGAAATCAAAGACCCCGATCTGAAGAGGCAGCCTGGAGTACCTAACTAAGAAGATCATCAATTCAAATTTGGGCTGAGCAGTATCAGAATCAATTTGGAGCCCCCTCCAAGATGAAGAGGCGATTTTTCACCCGCCCCCACCACCTTGAGCAGAGTAGCTCCTATTAATAAACATGACTGGCGATATCTTGATTGCCGAATAACTGTGGGCTTACAGCGACTCCTGAAGACCCTGGCAGATGGATGCCTTTTATTGTCCCGGTGTGGAGTCCCAACGATAACGACTGTATTGAGTTGTTGGCAAATAAGGGGCTGTAATTCAACTTCGTTGGATTTTCAACTTAATCAGATCCAAATGCTATCGGAAAAAAAGGAATGAAAATATAATTCAATGACGGTATTCTCAAGAGTTTTACTGTTGGAAAGAATAAAAAAAGTTAATAAAGTATTATTGTCATTATTTCTATTCGAGAGGCAGTGGTGGTCGTACGCACTAGAGCATAACCTGCTTTAACATTCTCGAGTCCAGCTGCACAGGTTCGAATTCGGCCTAAGCTGGTTGAAATTAATTTCTTGATGGACCCTAAAAAAAAAATGACCTTCTCACTCTGGTTAGAATAGTTTTGGTTGTGATTCATGTACAATCCACTCTCGTATTGGAGAAATTGCGAATTAAAGCACAGGAGCTCAAAACTATGTAATTAAATGAACCGCTATATGAGAGCTCCTGTAATCCTCCTACTCTCCTTATATTGAAATAAAATAAAATATGAAAGTCACTAACAACTTTTTTATATAATCCAGAGATATTCTTCTTAGAAAATGGAATGTGTTTTGATCGTACTCCCCAATAAAAAATATAATTGGAAATGGAAATTAATAACGATTTTATAAAATATATCGAAAGCAAACGTGTATATTATAGGCATTTCAAATCTTATTAAAACCAAAAGATATCATCCCAACATTTACAAACAATTTGTAATTAGTAATTATATGCTGGATAATTTTCATTTATCTTGCATTATTTAACTACAATACAAACTGCAGTACAAGTATCCAGTTATATGTGTCTCCTACATGAGACCCTTTAGATTTTATTGCAAAATAATATCTAGGTACTGGAAAATTAAAATATAATAAAATAGATAAAAACAAATTGAATTAAAATGCCTTAAAAATATTTTTAAGGAATGGACTATAAAGTTTGCGCTTACGTATTGATCCTGGAGATTACCGTTTGTTCCGGTCCATGCACTTTTCGATCAGCACCTCAATTTTGTAGAAAGTATAAAAAATGGTTTGATAAATGGTCCAATGTAACTAACTGGATTTCGTTTTCCATAATAATAATAAAAGGCTCCTCGAGCCCGAAGGTTCCATACCGATACCGCCAATCGTTTTATATAGTTTTAAACTTTTTTTCCTTAAATAAATATATAACTTGTTACTTATTGTTTGATAAAAAGCTAATAAGTTTTATTCTTCTATACAAACAATTAATGATATTTTTTTTTATTGCAAAAATTCAACTCTCACTTCATTTGTGTATGTTTTATTTTGTAAATGTTTGATTTAGGTTAATGTTAATTTGCAAACGACTATACTCCTTCCTAATTTGAATTACGTTATAAGTACTATTTTTATAATTATTTTAAAGGTTATATTGATCCGGCTTCTAATTATTCTTAACAGTGTTTCATCAGTAATCTAAGAGTTTCTAAATAGTCCGAAAATTAACTTAACTTCGTTTAATTGTGATCAACGATTGGATTCTAATTGTCGGATAATAATTATTGCCAGAATAAATCCAACGTGGCGAGCGTTGACAAGTCGCATGCTCGGTGACGTATGAGCACCACATCGCCTCTGTTATTATTTCGAAACCGTTATTAATAGCCTGGCGTGCAGCGTGTTCTCTTATCTGCTACGCACTCTGTGTGTTGGCTACACGCACTTTCTGTGCCCTTAATGTCTGATTCTCTGCTACGAAAGAGGAGCTTCTTAACCAACCGAAGAGTCTAAGGCATTGAGCGTTCAGCGATGATCTAACTATCGTGGTTTATAGACAATCAGTCCTAAACAAACCATCTTTCAATATCATAAGAGCGAAAATGTTTTGTTTGTCTGTTTCCTAGTTCACTCTGTGGACTGTCGTAGGACTGATTTACTTGTTGGGTTGTCTGGAAAATAATGCAGAATTTTATGTTTTATTTGTGTTAATCCTCTATGTAAAGAACTGCTTACGTTTGAAAATTAATCTCTTGTACGAGTGTTTTTATCCTCATCATTGTTTTCAATCCTTCAATTAACACGTTTTAATTCTCTATCAAACATAGATGTTTTTTCATCTACTATTGCATTTCACTCATACATTCGAAACAACTCAATTTTTTCTAAGTTGTCAAAGCGCGATTTTTTACATAATTTCGTATTACGAGTTTAATTCGGTGTGTACAGGGCTCAAAAAGCCAAACGTAGTAATGTAGTATGGAACGATGCAGGTACGAGTTAATGCGCTATTCATGAGGTGTCTTCAGCTGTGAAAGCAAAAATGGTTATGGAAGGACTTCTTCCCTTGACGACGATGTTCTGCGAACTTTGAAGATATTCACAAAACAAATGTTCGAGTACTTAAAAAGAAATACGCAGAAAATCGACCTTCACTCACCATCTTAACCCAATCGGAAAGGTAAAAAAGCTTAAAACTAGGTTTCCCCATACATTGAATGACCGCCAAAATCTTTGTTATGAAGTTTGTCTTACCTGCCGAAACAGAAACAAATCTCACCTGCCGTATTCTCTGACTTTTCGCCAGCTGGCTACCATTTTTTAAGACATCTAGGCCACTTTTAGATGAAAAAAAAACTTTAATGATCAAAATTCGTTATTAAAAGTATTTTCAAAATTTATTAATAATAACGATTTAACATTACGTACAAAGAAATAAAAAAAGTTCCAACACGTTGGCAGAGATGTATGAAGAGCAATTGAGCATATTTTGATTAATGGAAATAGTTTTGTGACTTTTATATTAAAACCATAAACCTGTATTAATTTCCGGGTATGCCAATATTTAGTAAGTTTACAATTTTTTTTATTTATCCACTTTTTCCAAAAATGGACTTTTAGGATTTCAGCCACCCGCGCTATATCCTCCTTCCCCACTTATCCTAATCCTGCCAATTTTTTGGGTAAAGTCTTTCGCCTTCCTTCGACTTATGCAAAAGAATGGAAGATCCAGGAACCGAGATAGGGTGGCGTACCCGGGGGCACTTTGGCAATGAGACGATTCCCTTTCAAGACAGGACCCAACCTCATTTTCCTAAGGGTGTCGCCATCGACTTCTTCTACAGCGGGTCCTTAATCGATCCTGGTCCTTACTTAATATTCGCCCTCCTTCGCCCCCCTATGGGCCTTCCCTTCGCTCTTTTATAAACAGCTTTCTTCTTCCATATTTTCGAAGGGTTCTTCCCCGGCTCGTCCCCTTGTACTTTGTTCTTTTTTTTTTTAATTTCATATTCCTTAAAAAAGGTTCTTCGTGGCTTTAAAACCCGAGTTGCATTAATTATTACATGGACTTTGAAAGAAAAAAATACTAAAAAAATAACGAAGAACCATATTATTATTATTATTATCTATACATATTATTAAAAATCGTTGACAATGATTTACTATTTAATGACGTTTATAGTTTACCATTGTCTCTTAACTTCTTAGATATATTTTTTGGAACATCTAATACGTTCCAAGAAATAGGATGATAAAGGAATTTTTCAAAAATGTCAATTACGGTGAGATATGGTTTTGCTTCACTTGTTCTGACATAAACATACATATATATATTGCTATGAGATGGACAATATGATTCCAACTTCTGGTAAGTTTGATAAAAAATATTGTTTCAAAATACATGTGTCTTTTACATCAATTGATACTTTTATAAGCTGGTGATAGGATAATAAATTAATCATAAACCGGTTAAACAATTTATATCGAGGAGGGAGGCGGAGAGGAGACGACAGTTTGATGGATCGTCCCTGCCTGCTTCCGTTCTTCAAGGGATCCTTTCCCTTCTTCCTTCTTATCGTCATCCTCCTGGAGGAAGTAATAACTCCAGATCGTAATTAGTAGAAGAGCAACGAGGTAGGGTACTGGAGCAAGGTACCGTACCAGATGGAAAAGAGTTTCATATTCTGCATAAAACATTTACGCTATACAACCAATAAAGTAACATATGCTATATTGTTTGAATTGGTTGTTGAATTGAACAGATGATAACAATGAGGTAAAATTCATAAATTATGTTCCTCGAGAGGCAAGTGGTATCCAAAATACTTGTGTAATGGAATGAGGCTTTGAAAAGAAACCTCTCAGAACTAGTGCAGGTAAAAAAAAATTGTGCACATGGTTTACAAGTAACCTAAGTAAAGAAATGTTCTAATAAAAAAATTAAGAAATAATTGCCAATGAATCGGTCTCTGCGAACTTTCTTACAGTTGCCCAATCTACGATCTAGAACCCCATTCGTGTGTCAGGTATGATGGCACTAGAACAGTAAACCTCATACTCGAGTATTGTAAACTTAACATACCTTGAACTATTCTAGAAATCTCTCAGGACTATAAGCAGGACCATAAATTACGAAAATCTTTATCTGGATCACATATTTCTGAAAATCATTAATTATTATAATATTAATTTAAAAATCAATTGTAAATTATAAAAATATCCGGCGTTGATAATCATGATGCTTTACGCTCTGAAGCCCTATGAAACAAACTGGCATATTTTTATATATAAAATTTCTAAGTCGAATTCCGGAAGATAATGGAAACGCTTTTTTTCTACTTTCTATTTTTATTTAAATTCATTTTTCCACATTGACTTTGCGATTATTTTTCTTAGCATTTTAAATATTAATACATTTTAAAAATTAAAATACTTTATTTTAAGTAGCGACAAAATAAAATTTAAAAAAAAATAGAAATATTTAATAACACATAAAATAATTATGTATGAGCGAAAATTCCTAAAGTAGATACAATATTCTCTTGCTTGAATAAATTCCGTAATCTTACAAAGTAAAATTATTTATGATTTTTACGTTTGTGTTTTTACGCCTCTCAAAGCTGAAAAAAATTAACAAAATATACTATTTTTTGTTCCTTGATAGCTTAAGATTAGTGTTGCCCCAAATCGGTCTTGGTCTAGCACATTGCAAGACCAAGAACAAGACGGGTAAAGGAAGAATCGTAGTTGTGAATAAAAATCAAGACAAAATAGTTACTAACACGTGACAATATTAGTTACCACACATAAAGAATCGGTATAACTAATATACTTTTGCATTTAACTCTTCCGATTTTTCATTCGGGCTTAGTTATGTTTCCCTTATCTGAAAAATTACAGTAATGTCTCTATAGTAATAGGCTAATCAATAAATGCAAGTCTGTTGCGAGACTCTTGCACAAGACCAAGACTGATTGCGCAAGACCAAGCAAGACTCATCTTGGTTCGCATTTTGGCAACACCACTTAAGATCACCATTTAAGTAACAGTTTGCTTTCAAATTTCATATTTTTAAAGTATAATTTATTTTTTATTTTAGCTATAATTTAAGGATAACTTTTCTTTTCTTCAAACGATTTTTTACATTTATGCTTAAATAGGCACTCTTTTAAATTATTTCTATTGCTTTCAAACAATTAACAGGTAGAAGTTGTTCTTTGTATTTTCAGCAATTATTATTACCATTAATATATTAATTATTGTTACATTTATAGGAAAAATAATTCAGTGAAAATTACAAAACAACGAGGAGTTATACAGCTACGCATTCCATTGTAATCACGTTCCATTTAATTTGAACTATTTATTTTAATTTATTTAAATCTATTTTAATGAATATTCAATATAAATCCATCACTACTTGAATTTATTTATTTCATTCCTTCTTACCAAGGTCGGCTTTCATCTTTACGTTACATAACCTGTCATGGAGCATTATGACTCAATTGTCGGTTTAACCTTTATGTATTTACTTTTATTTCAGTACTCTTACTTATATTTTTTAAATTCTTTTTTAATAACCTCAATATAAAAAAAAATTAGCTTAGTACATAAACCGATTTTTCATGAACCAATAGTAAAAACTTACACTAAACTTTCCATTTTAATTATTTATAATAATTTTTATTTTTCATCATTTTGTCATGGATTCGCCAATAAAAAATACAATATGTACAGTATTATCGATTTCGACGTAGCGATCGCATAAATAAACTTCGTCTTTAGACGCTCGTGTGAAGGCAATATCTTGTTTGAACAGTGACGCTTTCTAATCTCTTGAGTACTTCCGTTTTTGATAAGAAGTATAATTGATGTACCTGTGTGCAGTGTATGTCAAAAACTTGTTTAACCATTTTATTCGAATGAAAATTAAATAAATTTATTTTATTGTTCTAATATTGTTCAGTTAAATTTGTACAGTACAATTTTAGTTTCTTCTCCTCCCCCCTTTCGAGTCATAATAATTTATTCTTTTTTTTACAAATCGAATCTCAATCAACCTTTTTTTGTTTCGAAAACCGTACTAAATGTTTAATTTCTTCCAAAAATATTAAAGTTTCAATATTTATTATTGCTATTATCGTTTATTCTCGGAAATAATTTCTCATTTTTCTTTTAAAAAAATATTGCTTTGATATTACTAATAGGACAGACAATATAGTTTTTCGCGTTTCCTGAAAAATTGTCTATGATGATTTCATTGACTACAGAATTCTCTGTAGTTTATAGTGTTCACTGTGAAAAAAAAAAAAAAAGAGTGGTATTTTAGTGTATTTTGTTCTAGTGTGTTAGCAGTTATGAATTAATGATTTAATTTTGAGATGAGTCTTGTATTGGTCTTGCCCATAATTTGTGACAAGAGTCGCGCAATAATATTGCAGTTACCTATTAGCTTATCATTATAGAGATATTACTGTAAGTTTTCAGATAGCGGTAACCTAACTAAGCACGAATGAAAAATTGGAAGAGTTAAAGTATATTACAAAAGTATATTGGTTATACCAAGTCTTTTCATATAGTAACTAAAATTGTCAATTCTTAGTATCTATTTTGCCTTAATTTTTATTCACAAAACAATTCTTTTTTTACCAGTCTTGGTTTTGCACTTTGCAAGATTAAGACCGATTTTGGGCAACACTAATAGTGATCATTGATATAATAGTGCTTTTAGAGACAACATTTTATTTTTTTAAAAACTTAAATTTTGTTGCTGCAAATACATGCGTTTTATATATATATATATATATATATATATATATATATATATATATATATTTTTTTTTTTTTTTTTTTTCACTTCATTTCTTCACCTACACCTATCAAAAGTACTGACTATCATTGAGTCTACTGTTGGGAATAATACTAGTAGTAGTATCATTGATCGGCGAGAGGAGGAGTGCCCAGCGGCATCCATTCCTGTCTTGATTTTAGTATACATTTTAAGCGAGGAGATCCCTCATCCAATTTCTTTTCTGCCGCCTATGAGTGTTTTCAGGCATGTTAATTATAGCCATGTCTTGTATGAGTGTATTAGTTAGTCCATTAAAGTCATAGTTAAATCTTTTGTAGTGTATTCCTATATGGTCGTGAACTGTTGGCATGTGAAGGTCTTAATGTAACGTAATGTTTGTGACGTACCTTGGACGTTTAGTCATACTTCTAAAAGTGTTTGACTGAAAAGTTTGTAGTTTTCTTACGTGGATCGTTTTTGCTGTTACGTATGTATGTAAAGCATAGGTTTAATTTATAATTACAGAAGAGAACATGTTGTGATTGATTAAATGTTTGTTACTTATTACAAATAGAAACAAATGTAGTCCGATGGAATAAATCATTTCTCTATTTTCGGGGATGAGGACATCAACCTGAAAGAATAATGTATCATTCAACATTTGAATTCGCCATTGTGTGTTAGAGAAATAGAATAAAAAATTATATATATAATATTATTCCACTTATTCCTAAAATATGTCTTTTGTTGTAAATAATTGAAAATTATTCATGGATTCGATGGCGTTTTCCTGCCCCATATTTAAAGATGGCCGTAATTACCGTGAGAGAGTGACATTCCCTAATTTGACATAATCGGGTCGGAGGCATGGCAGGAAGCGCATCAATCACAAGCTGTCAAATTGTGTATACTCCCGCCAAATAATTTTTTTCCCGCCCTCGAACGCTTCCGATAAGTTCACTAAAGAGGTCGTTAGCGCGGCCACTAATTAGTGTGTATTTTTAATTACTGTACAATATCTCTGGCTTGGTATGCAAATTAGTGGGGTACAACCCCCATCTTGCCCCTCCTATCTTCGCGTCCTCTCTCTCTCTAATGGCTAGGCTCTAAGTGCCTCTACTTCTCCCCTAAGCTGAGCCTATTAGGGATTTAAGTAATAACCGTAATTAATTTATGTCATTTGATGTACTTTATTTGATATTAGTCGTTTATTAATTATGGACTCAATAATTGTTCCCATAATTGTCTTTCCTCGTCATATTTGATGATACTTGAAAGTGTGACTAATTTATGATTAAAAAAACCAACATAAATTTTTATCCATCTAATGTTTCGATCTGACTAAATCATTATTATTATTATGTCTGAATAAAATTTTTACATTGAATTAACGGTAATATTTGTCTTGGATTTGCTATCTTCAATGAAATACCATATCATTATATATTATATATATATCCATATCCACCGCAGCATTATATAATTAAAATATTATTTTTGTGAAATTATAGATTGATGGTTGACTGTAGTGAATAATTGAATATTGATAAATAAGTATATTTATTTTTACTTTTTTTTTTTTTTTTATTGATTATCCCAACCAATCTTCTCTTCGATTATTTTTCTAGCACTTTGATAATTTTATATCTAATTTGTTTTTATATTTGATGCAGCAGATATTAAATAAATAAATTACCTATAGAAAGGGAAAATAATTCCAAGTTTTTCATACAGATATGATATATATCTGTCCATATATCAAGTAAAGGTGCACCAATTTAATAGATTTTTACGAAATACTTAATAAAACTTCAACATCAGAAACCTTCAGTCAACTTTTTTTTTTTATTTATTCAGAAATATTACAATCTGTCACAATTAAGGACATTTATTATAGTGTTCAAAGAGAACATTCACATTCTATTTACAATAAATAAAAATAAATAATACAGAAACTAATAATTATAAAAATAAATGTATATAAATAAAAGAACTAAACTAATCAAAATAACAACTAAAACACATGCATACTATACAATTCTTTTCATATGTAATGTGAATTATAGGCCTCATATCTTTGTTAATTGAGAAAATATGCTATCGTGTTTAAATATCCACTTAAATAGCTATTGGAAGCTTGGTAATATCCAAGTCTCCAAATGCCTTATTTTGTTATTTATTTACGTTTAGAGATTTTGTTATTTTTTGTAACCTCTTATAACAGTAGTTGAATATTGTATACATATACGTTATATAAATGAACATCATTAATGTATTACCCATTTGTCTTCCGTTCTATGTATCAATGTGTTTATCTTATTTGCTCATTAACATAATTAAAATCCTTAAACATGTCATCTCAGTATTGATAATATTGATCAAATCTTAACGAAATTAATATTTAAATTAATTAAACATTAACGTATCTTTATTTTATTATTAAACCTGATATTTTTTTAAAATTTTATTATCTTTCTGTTAGCCTAATATATTTTATAGTTTTATCTTTTTTTTCTGTTTACATATTTATATATTTTCACCCATATACCGAATATTACGTCTCTGAAAACGACGGAGATTAGAAGATGTTTAATTTCCCTTGTCTTTTTTTTTTTTTTAATTTATTTTTAGTTCTAACCCTTTAACTCTCTTCACTGGGACCCATTTAAAGAAGAAGGTAACCAGGATTGTATCGGTTAAAAAAATAAATCTTTTTTTTTTTTCTTGAGGCAGTCCATGAAGACATCTATTTGTTTGTGTGCTAGAGAAGATGTTACACAGGCAGTAGTCTGAGGTCAATGATGCTACTTTTTAAGAGATTTTATAGAATATTATGATATTCTGTAATTTATTTCTTCATGTTTATACTAAGTAATTTTAATCATTTTTGTTTCATAAAATAATAACTTTTTTTTACATTATTTTATTGATCTTTTTATACATTATTTTCTAATAGATACAGGTCATAAAATAAACTCTCAATATTGAAAATGGGAGTTCCCTGGTCTTTACTATTTTTTTGTGGGAGAGAGGGAGGCGCAATGTTTTTTTGTATGGTTTGCATTTATATTTTTTATTAAATATGATATAAGTATTACTTAAGCCATAAATCTTTTTTTTAACCATAAATCTTTAAAATTCATATGTAATATGTCTTAATGAAATTAGATATCATTTGAAATAGTTTCCTACATGTTTATTAAGTTCAGTTGATTTGTTGTATTTCAAGTTTTTTTAATTTTACATAACTTTTAATACTTACATAAATTATCTAGGAAGATCTATTTTTTTTTTTTATCCCAGTTGCCAACGTTTCGTCTCAAGCATAATTCAACATCAGGGGGCTAAAAGTTAAAAAGTATATGAGAAATATATTCTGTAGAGGGAATTACATAAATGAGGCAAAAGAAAGAGATAAATAATGCACATAAGATAATAGTAATGTAAACATCATAATACACTATGAGGAAAAGATAAATGATATACATAAAATGAGTAATTAAATAGTACAAAAAAATTTTTTAAACTTATTTATATGTAAAAAGAAATTAGGTATACTGTTTATTTATTTAATTTATATGTATTATTTATATTTTTTTCTTAGTGTTCTATTATGTTTTCATTATTATTATCTTATGTGTACTATTTATCTTTTTTTATATAGGCTTTATAAT